TGTAATGCCAAATATCCAACACAATTGAAACCAAACTAAGGCTGTGACCAAGGTTGAGACCAACATTGACTGGAAATTCAAAGGCAAGCACACAATCGAAACCAAACCAAGGTTGTGACCTAATACTTCGAATTTTAGTTTTATGCCCCAAAATATTCAAAGTCATAGCAAGTTGCTCTCTCCACTGTAACATGTCTTGAGTCTCGCAATAAATCATTCCTCCCCATGCTCTTTGCAAGCTTTATAAAAGCACCACTACGCATTCTAACATAGTTGACACAGCTATCACTAAATCCATTATATATTCGGTCCATGCGTTGTTTTCTATTTTAATATTGCTTTATTTTCTCTTCACTAGGAACTGCACGTATAGATCTACATCTACTTTGCATTCTCCTCATGAATGTCATAACCATAACTAAAACAGATAGCGCATCACCCGAACACATATTAACTACTATCTCTTCATCGAGATCATCATCCATCTAAAATACACGCGTCATATTAAAGCAGATACCAATATTAAAGGCAAATGATCAAAGTCTTTTAGAAAAAGTATCATAATCATTTATGTAATGATTGATTAATTATTTTGTTCAGTTTATGTTTGCAATATGATAAGACAACGTTATTAGACTTGGGATTCAAAATGTCTTTGGAAAGTAATGCAGACAAAGTCATGTCACATTGTTCAATATTATGATTTCAAGCATGTTCTATGAACCACAATCAAACATACACAACAAACCCAAACCCCAAGATACACATCTGTTTTATGAGGAATTTTATCAAATAATGAGCACATTAATCATTCTTTAAGTATTCAGAACAAATGTTTTTTCAGTTGTGTGTAGCAAAATTTTCATCTTTCCACACTAACATATAGTGAAACAGACATCCAAGTTGCTGATATTCAAGAATTAATATAGAAGAGAATGACTTCGTTATTAAACTAAAATGAACAATTTGGTCTGACTAAATTTTTGCAAATAATAAATCAACATTGAACGCGAGCACACTCACTTTGAACCCCAAAGCAAGATATAAGATGACTTAAAAAAGTAAATCATTTCTTAACTGAGTAATCCAACAGGGCTCCTGAGGACTACTCATTAGTCGTAATCTAATAATCTAACAAACTAGCTCATCAAAACATTAAATCTTTGTCACATTATTCAATCATTCAAACCACAACATATAAAATTTCACAAGAACCAAAAGCTAAAATATTGAAAGCATGCAGCATTACAAAATTCAGATCGACATACCGAGCTTGGCAGAATCCCAAAGCATCGAGACTGATTAGAATGAGATGGTGGCAACAAAAGAGGTCGAGCCCTAGATTGGAAGCTCAGCTTTGCAAGGCGGGAGGGAAGGGGAAGGAGGAAGAAGAATGAAAGGGAGAGAGGGTTCCTCTTTGGCACGGGAGAACGAGGAGGAGACATGAGTAGGTAGCGGGAGAAGTAGCAGTAGATATTCTTTGGCGCGGGAGAAGGAGAAGGAGACGGGAGAAGGAGGAGGAGGTGATTGTAAACCTTAAACTTTCCCCCTTTTCTCTTCGCTCCTGTACTAAGATGACTTTGTGCATTTTTTCGACAAAATCGAGAGTCTGGGGGCGAAAAACGGAGCTCATAAAAATCCATCGTGGCAACCACTTTCTCTCCCTCTTTCTGTTTTCATTTTAGGGAACAAAACATCAGATTGTGAGGGAAAATATACAACTTTTCCTATATCAGTTTTATTTAGCCCACTTTCTTCACTTTTTGGGCTAACCAAACAGTCCCCAAGAAGAAAAAGACGGACCAGGCGAAGTTGAGCCAATAATGCCCTTGAAAGTGCCAATAATTACATAGATGAGTGTGGAACTTGGATTTTTTATGGGAGGAGAATTTTGCAGAAGCTAGAGGGCTAAAAATTGGGATTTTAATTACAATTATTGTCATTAGTAATTCAAAGGAGTACCGAAGTTGTTGGCTTTAATTATATGATATTAATTAGCATCCTTATAATTTTCTCAATTTTGCACTTATATATGCATTGCATATTTTTAACAGCACTTACACATAATGAGAATTGGTGCTTTACTATCCTCTGTCATGAAAACGTAAAAATATTTTCGCGGATATTCCTCTTTGACAGTCACTATCTAAAGTTAGAATTCTTTAAAAACTAAGTTTTTATTGAATTTACTTTTTAACCTCCCACAACTCTATTTTAAAAAAGATCTAGAAATTTTATCGGAGCCAGTCCAGTTAGTTATATCTTAAATTCCAATGTTGTAGGCTTCGACACATAAGTTTGAAATATCTAAATTTGTAATTTTAATTATATGATGCAACTCCTTGTGTATAGATATTGTTAAAAAAGTAATTTTCAGTTAGATGCACAAGTTTATGCACAGAGGAAAATTCCATCAAACTCATGAGCATTTGACTTTGCAAGTTTAAGAAAAATTAGATTTACCTCTTTTTATTATATATGTTACGGTCCCACACTAGGACATGCTACAGTTTTACTCAATTAATATGCGAAATTCTGATAGAAATCCCTCATCCCCCCTCCCCCACTCAAAAAAAACAAACCCACCTAACCTAGAGAGAGGGGGAGAGAGGGAGAGGGAGAGGGAAAGTAAGAGAGCTAAAATCTCTCAAAATGAGAGGAAATTGGTGAGAAATCTGATGTATTGATTTAAAGAATAATTTTTGTACAAACTTATCCATTTCCACTTCTTAACCCATTTTCTATAAATTAATTTTTCCTCTTTTCTTATTTTGAACCAAACAAACAAAGAGTAAAAAAAAATAAGAAACATCACTTTTTGAATTTTAATAAACTTTCCCTATAATTTTATATGGAAATCAATTTTTAGATATTTTTCTTTTTCCTTTTTTTATAGAAATCGAACCAAACAGCCCCCTTTTCTTTGTTTCATGGTTACTTTTTGCATCTCTTCTTTTTCTATGCATGTTTGAGAGAATAATATACATCTAGCACGCATGCTTTTCTTTAAATATTTATTTTTTAATTGCAAAACAAAATAATTGGATACTACTTCGTGGACATCTGATATGACACTGTATAAAAACTAGATTTCCAAGATAAAATTATGCAACAAAGTCAAACATAAATCCTAGTTAAACCGAAAGCATTGTTTGATTGAAATCTAGACTTTATAAATTCAGAATTACGAGAAATTTTTGGCGGTGACTAGAAAAGTATCAAAATTATAAGGGATAATTGTAGAAAAACCCCTCTACCATGACTGGTAGCTCAGAAGACATCTCTCAACAAATTCAATTTGAGAAAGTCACTCTTTAAAGTATGGGTGTGTCATAGATAAACCCCTTAATTTGAATTTTGATATAACCCCTCAACTTCTCTCACGTAACCCCCCACCCCACACAAAAAAAAAAAAAATTAAAAAATAAATAAATAACGTCGTTAAGTTTAACATGTATTGTGACAAGTAGGTGACTTGAAAAAGTCAGGAATAGCAATCATGAAGAGAATACACTAATATTTTATAGTTAGAGAAAGTGAAGACTTGTTTTTTTTGGGGGGGTGGTGGTGTGATGAGCATTGTAAATTAGCTGTGGTCTTCTTTTACAAGCTAGGAAGTTTTTCTAACTGAAATGTGTTAATTTACAAAATATTATTTCAGTTATTTCACATTTTAAAGTAACGACAAGCATGATTTTCTAAGAAAAACGTGAAAGATCAAAGGGGGTTTTGTAAGACACCGCATGGTTATATTCTCAAATTTTTATAGTTAAGAGGGCTTATCTTCAACTTGTACAAAGTTGAGTGAGAATACACTAATTTAGAAAAGAGTATTTAAGTTATTTCACATTTTAAAGTAACAATGTCCAGGGGTTTGCTAAGAAAAGCGTGAAAGATCAAGTGTGTTTGGTAAGTCACCCCACAGTTATACTCTTGAATTTTCGAAGTTAAAGAGGGGTTATCTTCAACCTGTAAAAAGTTGAGCGAGGATTTTTCAAACTAAAATAGTTTGAGACTAGTTTTTGAGTAGGGGTGAGCATAGTTCGATTTAAACCGAACAAATCGACCGATCCGACTGAAATTTGACAGTTCGATTCGATTTTTACTAGAGTTTGGTTCGGGTTGAGTTGAAGTATTTTTAACCCGAACCGACCGAATTGTGTTACCCATTCTAATTACTATCTGCATCCGCTTAAACCTGACCCATTATAGTTTATATACAGATATTTAGCTGCAGCTTGATATCTTTTTATCTCACGTGATCTGATAGCGATAAAATACTCCAATAACGATGTCCTCTCCAATTCTAGGGCTTTCATTATCTCTAGTTCTCCACCCCCCTCTATTATCTATTCACTTCTTCTATTTTAGACTAATCCACTTTGGAGATAAGAAACTTAAACGATAATGTTGATTCTAACATTTTTTTGATATTTCTGATCGATTGATACATCTTTGGATCATACTTATAATTTTATAGAAACCATACCCAACATCCAAATTATTATTATTATTTTATTTACTTTGTCTGTCAGATTGAGATTACTTTAATTCTTTACGAAAGTTTTCTCTAAAAAAATTTATGTAAGCTTTGGTAGGAATAATATTTTAATTTCTACATCTAATATTCAGTAGCATTTGATAGTTTATGAATTTTAATAGATTGAAGTGTAAGTGATTTCTTTCTTTGTCAACAGATTAGAGGTAAAATTGAATTTGGACATAACATTTGTAGCCAAGTAAAAACCGAACAAACCGACCCAAAACTAAACCGAACCGACTTGAATCGGTGCGGTTGAATTTTGAATGATAGGCGGTTCGGTTCGATATGCCCAAATTTAGTCAAAAACTGAACCGACCAACCGATTGCAGTCTTATTTTGAGCCAACCCCGATAGTTAGGATTTTTATTTATAAAATCAGTAATTGGAAATCTTGCGGGCCTTCATTGGGCCTTCAACCATAGTCGAGATCTGCAAACTATCGACTCTACACCGACAGATTTGACCGCAGCTCCGGCTCGTCCCATTTACCCAGGCGTCGACCCTGTTTCATTCATCAGATCTCAAATACTCAGAACTCAATACCTCGAACTCCGTTAAAATCGATGTGAAGAGATTCGAGATTCGAGATCGAGGAATCGAGCGATGGACGTGGAGAGATCCTCTCTCTGCAACTGCGTCGTCAACTTCCTGCTCCAGGAGAAGTACCACCTCACCGCCTTCGAGCTCCTCCACGAGCTTCTAGAAGACGGCCGCCATGATCAGGCCATCCGCCTCCGCGAGTTCTTCTCCGATCCCAACCTGTTTCCCTCCGATCAGATCTCTAGATTCAATTCCCTTCGAGGTTTGCTCTCTCGATTCGTTCGCATTTTCTCTTTCGAGGAATTTTGACATAGATTTGAATGATTTAGCTCAAGATTAACAAATTTGATAGTGTAATTGAAAGCGAGAATTGTCCAGTGTCGTTAAGAAAATTAGATAGTTTAGCTCAATAAAAGGTTGATCAGCTTTAAACCCTTATTTTTCGTGCATTAATTATGTGCCAAGTCTCTGTTTTATACTATTTGCTGATGATATACTATTAAATGGCGAGATTGGTTGGAGCGAAGCTCCTGAATATAAAGGATTTAGAATTAGTAAGGATAAAAAGTGAATAAATGAAATATAATTTTAGTAAAATACGTTGATTGTCAAGAAATGTCTAAGAGCAAATCACTTCTGTTATTTAGGATCAATCATTTGTCATGGTGATGAGATTAAGAATGACGTGGTTCATTGAATCAAATCAGAAAGGTTAAAGTGGAGGAATTCTTCTGGAGTCTTATTCCACTGTAGAACTCCTATCAATTTGAAGGAAAAAATTCTATACATCAGTTGTAAGACTAACAATCTTTTATGATCACGATATTAGGCAACTAAAGAAAAATGAGCGTAGGAAAAACGAGAATTTTAAGATGGTATTGTGGATGTAAACTTAAAAATAGAATAAGAACGAGTGCATTTATAGAAGGTTAGAGGTTTCATCTATTGAGGATAAAATGAATGATAATCAATTGAGATGGTCTCTTCATGGACAACAGAGGCTATGCATCAATTTGGAATATGATCAGATTATGTTAATGGGAGTAAAGAGGAGTAGAGTGAGACTTAAAAGAACTTGATTAGAAGCAATTTAGGAGAATATAGTAATAACTAGCTTGATGGTAGTGGCTCATTATGGAAGTGAAAGTAAATATATGATTCATATAGTTGACCCCAAAAATCTGGTAGTCTTGTATTGAAACCAAAAACTCACCCAACAATTGGAAGTTTTAATTAGTTATGTGCATGTGCAGAATGAGTATTTTTGGAGTGGAAGGAGCTGTATAGAAAGGTTCTCCCTTTTACTTCAAATTTGTGCTACGCTCATTGGCCATATTTGAAAATTGTTATATTTTGAGATAAAGTGTTTACTTTCTTCAGTTATATGGCTTATGAAAAACTCTTATTCTGTTTGATTTGCAAGTTTAACTTCTCATAGAATCTGTGCAAGGTGGCCTCCTGATACTTGAATGAATCAATGCAAGTATCATAGGTACATTGTTGATTGTTCAAACTACACGCTGATAATTTATGGATCTGATTTTATTCCAAGGTGCTAAATTGTTGCTCCAACCTCATGGTTTACAGAATAGTTAAAGGAAAAATTAATCAGAAATCGTTTTATGTGCAACAGCACCAACAGTTTTGTAAAAAGTTTTTTTTTTTTTACTTTCAATTCAAAGCTTAAGCTCACGACCTATTGCCTACGAGTTCCTGATTCACATTTATGGTCTAAAGAATTCTGTGGAAATTGGCTGTAGAACTTGAATTTTTCGTGATGAATTTTTGTTATGTTATCCTGCTGCAAATTTGTGTGCATAATTCTGCATTGGTAGCTACCCGCAGTAAGTTTGAAGTGTGACCTAATTGACCTGTTCCTTGTGCAATACAAACAAATATGCTAAGAAAGTTGAATCTTAATTATTGCTTTCCTGATTAAACATGTGATGTATTCTAGATGTTGATTTTATATATGGTGTTCCAGTTGCAGACCCTCAGATTTTGCTTGAAGAGAAAGAAACAGTAGAAGAAAATTTGGCAATCAGTGAATATGAACTTCGTTTAGCGCAAGAAGACCTCTCAAGGCTGAAGGAAGAGTTACAAAAGCAAAAGGAATCTCTTCCAGATGGCGAGAATGGTCTGTTCTTTACCTTTTAAATATAACAAACTAATATTTATATGGACAACCATAATCATATGCTGTATTAGTGTGCATACAGCATGCATGAGCATACTAGTTAGTAGATATAACTCAGTGTGAAGTTCACAGCATGCGCAAAACATCACATTAAGCTATAACCCTCAAACCCTCCCCACAACTTCAGAATTTTGGCATACACAAGGACTTTAAGATGATATCCGAGCAACCTTGGTTCGAATCTTTCTAGTTACAAATTTCTAAAGTGGTTTAAAAAAAGATACCGCTTTGTGTGTCCAGATTTTGATACATATAAAGGGCCCTCAACCTGCCGGGGTGTGTTAGAATATAAATTATAACCCCAAACCCAATATAAATTATAACCCCCAAACCCTCGCCAAAACTACAGAGTCTTGGTGTAGTGGCTGAGACTTTGAGACTAACAAAGCAAACTTGAAGACATAAGAGAAGAAACAAGAAAGGCTTATTAGAAGTAAAAAGGAGCAAATCATTCAATACCCAACGTGAAGAAATCTGAACAAATCTGAAGGACATGTCATCACACTCACATCTGAGGCAAGCATTTGTTTCTTTTTCCTTCAGCAACAAAGGATTTTGACCAATATTTCATGATTTGAAAATCCTTCTTATTCTTTGAAATATTGATCTGCATTACAACTGTTTGAAGACGATCCGGTCAGTATAAATGGGGCTTTCAGTTCATTAAGCGTGCGATATAGATTTTCATGTTAATTTGCCTGCAATCTAAGGTTCCTCAGTACTGGAAACAATTCAGGGAGATTTCTAAAGCTTTTTAGGAGCTAAAGCTTTTTTCTTCCTAAGCAACCAGGCCCTTTAATCAGTTTAGTTGCAAAAGTATACCCGAATTTGGTTTCTCGTGTTGATCTTTCAGCAAATGGGAGGTCACAGGCTGTAAATGCACGAAAGTTGCCAGGACAGTGCACTAGCTATCATGAATGGATAATTCTAGGTCGGGTGAAACTGGAAATAAATGTTTGTTACTGTGTAAAACAGGAAATAAATGTTTGTTACCAACTTCTCATTTTTCATTCTGCTTCCCTTGCTCATTTTGCAATATGTTCTGAAGGTAACTCATGTTTTCTTTTTAGCCACAAGTTTATTACAGTTATCTCTCTCGATATATAATGCAAAGAGTACAAAAAGTTCAAATTGTTTGATTATCAAAGAATGATTTACCTTCCTTGGAATTCATGTATTAAAGTCTCCTTTGGACTTTATCAGACCTTCTTTGTGAGCACATGCTTATAAATGTTTATGCAATGAATTCGGTGAACTATATGTCTGATTATATTTTCCTGAAATTATATTTTCCTGAAAATCATTTTGCTATGCTCCATTTTATGGTATCTAGGATGAAGGTGTGAGATGATGATGTGAGATGTAAACCTCCAGAATTTTGTTTCTATTCAAGGCTTGCATGATCGTGTATAGATGATATTCCTTTTTCCCTATTAGAACTATCTGCCGACTGTGAGTGACAACTGCTCTGATAGTTCATGGTACCTCAGATTATTAGTAAAAATGACATAATAGAAAGAAATGATTGATTTTTCTTGAAATTTTTAAATCTCATGGTTTAGAGCAAAATGTTTGATCAATCCTTGCAATTGCTTATTAAATAAGTATGAGGTTTTCCATTATGTAATTTCATCTATTGATCGATGATAGGATCTCATCTAAATGTTAATGCTGCCGATGGTCCTGCAAGTGAAGAGGATAAGAGGGGGAGCTCACTTTCATCTTTAGGTCCTCTTAAGGATGCTGAACGTAAAGACATCAATTGTGCTGTCAAGGAGTACTTGCTTTTTGCTGGTTACCGACTTACAGCCATGACCTTTATTGAGGAGGTGAATAGTAACTCGTGCCCTGGTTCTTTAGCATCAGATTTTGTCTCTTATTGTATTGTGCATCACGGCTTACATTAAAAATTTCAAATATCCTTCTGCTGAAGTTCAATTGAAGATTCTAGCCTGGTAATGTAAACAAGAGACCTGTTGTCAGTTAACCTTTACAAGGTATGCTATACCATGCTTGATTTTAGGTTCCTATTTAATATTAGACCATTCAGGAATCAGGTCTCTGTACTTGTGGACACAAGGGAGAGATCTGGGAAATTGCCATCTCATATTTGATCTCCTTTGCTGTGTCAAGACTGTTCTTCATTAGCTGTATGCCTTTCATTTGATGATGTATGATTTGCTACTTATCTGTTTGATTACTTTATCATATCATTCTTGTGACCAGATATGGTCGTTTTGCACTTCCCCTGCTCATCTGTCAGTTACCCTTTAACAAGACTGCTTCCCGAATTATTTCCTTTATATAGCATGTAGCAGTGTAACTACATAGGTCTGTGTTCGACCAAATATGTTGTGAACCAAACATACTGACACAAAGTTCTGTGTATCTAACACTCTTTTAATTTTTCAAACGGATGTTTTCAATTCAACAGCTTAATAAAGATCTCCATGAAGAATTTAACTGCCATATTATCTTCCTTGACCTTGGACCAAAATTTGGTATACCCTTCAAAAACATATTGCCAATTGTTAAAGGTTGTTAATGCAACAGCTTAATAGAAGTTTTTTTTGGCATTAGGGTATTCATCTAAAAATGGAAAACTGTACCTCTTCCTGATTACGAAACAAAATTTGGCATATATACTGAAAAAATGAATTTCCAGTTTCATATATGGAAATTGAAATCCAGATGGACCTTCCTATTGTTGCACGAACCCTTTGTCTTATTGTAGGCTTTTTTATTACTTTCGTATTTCTATTTACTTCTCAAAATTTTAAGCAGCATTCAGACCGAGATATTTGTTTTTGCTGCCAGTATATCTATCTCAGTGAACCTTCTTTGTTGCTTGTGCATAAGATATTACAAGTTTACTTTTATTTCATTGCTGCAGGTTACAGACCAAGATCTTGGTGTTTGGCCAAAAAGTTCAGCTTGTGTATCTGATGCTTTGCGCCGTTACTATTATCAATATCTTTCAGCCACCACAGAAGCTGCTGAGGTAATCTTTTCATGCTTGAAATCAATATGTTATTTTTTTTAAATAATTTCTGATAATTCTTATACTGGGTTATTGTTAAGTGATACGTCCAAATACTTTGATTCTTTGCATGTTTAATAACATTAAACAAATTAGCTGCACGCCAATTAATTGTTACCAACAGCAGGACAACCTATCATTTGACATGTTTTTTACTTTACTAGTGTAGTGCACGTGCTTTGCATGTGAAATTGTATTTGTTTCTTGTTTTAAATTTTTTAGTTATATAAGAACTTATCTAACACAAGGGATAATTATAGTTATTATCCTTGTCATGTATAAATATATATTACAATGTTCACTCATAAAGATAACTACAAATGAACCGTATCTACTTAATTTGCATACAGCAAATGCAATATCAGGTCTAGTACAATGCATAGCATACATTAAAGAATCAATTGCACTAGCATACTCAAGCTGTGCTACAACTCTACCAGAATTGGCAGCCAATTTGGCACTGGGATCGAAAGGAGTGTTAACTTCTTTAAAACCAGGATGATTAAATTTATTCACTATTTTTTCAATATAATGTGATTGGCTTAAAGAAAAACCCCCACTATGTTTTCTAACTTTAATCCCTAAAATAGTATCTGCTTCTCCTAAATCTTTCATTTTAAACATAGAAGATAGATACTCTTTTGTTTCATTTGCATAAGATATTACAAGTTTACTTTTATTTCATTGCTGCAGGTTACAGACCAAGATCTTGGTGTTTGGCCAAAAAGTTCAGCTTGTGTATCTGATGCTTTGCGCCGTTACTATTATCAATATCTTTCAGCCACCACAGAAGCTGCTGAGGTAATCTTTTCATGCTTGAAATCAATATGTTATTTTTTTTAAATAATTTCTGATAATTCTTATACTGGGTTATTGTTAAGTGATACGTCCAAATACTTTGATTCTTTGCATGTTTAATAACATTAAACAAATTAGCTGCACGCCAATTAATTGTTACCAACAGCAGGACAACCTATCATTTGACATGTTTTTTACTTTACTAGTGTAGTGCACGTGCTTTGCATGTGAAATTGTATTTGTTTCTTGTTTTAAATTTTTTAGTTATATAAGAACTTATCTAACACAAGGGATAATTATAGTTATTATCCTTGTCATGTATAAATATATATTACAATGTTCACTCATAAAGATAACTACAAATGAACCACAAATATAAAAAGGCTTAATCTAATTAAAATATTTTGATAGGTTTAATAGTAAATTTAACAAATTGTAACGCCTCGTTTGGTACGTGGGAATGAAGTCAAGTGAGAATGGAATGGAAGAATGAATGAAATGGAATGTATGTGAGAATGGAATGGTCATTCTCATTCTCTTGTTTGGGTGCGTTTGTAGAATGAAGCTAGAATGAAAATCTAATTCCCATTCCCATGTTTGGTATCACTAGTTCACAAGTGAGAATGGAATCTCATTTTCTAATAATGCCCTTATAACAACATAGATTTTTAATAAGATAAAAATAAACATTAATGATAATAACTAAAAAACTTTATTTATACATATGTTATATTAATCTAGGTATGTGTTATACTAATGTGCATGTTATCGATCAGGTGTATGTTTCCTTTATATTTTTTAAACAATTCTCACTATTTTTGCATATGTTATATTAATCTAGGTATGTGTTATAATAATGCCCTTATACCTCTATATATAGTCTAGACATGATATGGTTTGATAATTTTAATATTTTGGCCAATTTCTCAGCGAGAGTTTCCTCTTTTCATAAATATTAGGTCAAATATTTTTCAATCAAAAGTTAGATTTATTGTTGTGCATGAACCACAATCAAACATGTACGCAATGGGTACATATAGTTCTCTATGGTGGGAAAACAATAGCAAAAGTTCAAAAAGAATATAATATGCTGGTGAAAATAACAGACTTTAAACATTGGTGAATAAACAAAAAAATTTGATTGACCAAAAAAAAATATTGACATGAAAGAATTTCAATCGGTAAATAATATATAGTTTCAGTTGCATCTGTTTTTATATTAAATTGTGTTGATCCTATGTTGAGCAATTGTGATATAATAGGCTAATGAAATATGTACCCGTTAGTTTTAATATGCTACTGAAATATGTACCACTAGTTTTAATCCCTACCCCGCAAAAAATTCCTATTGTTCGAATATAATTAGTAGCCGAGAGAAAATGAGAATACGTAGTCAAAAACCATGATTTTTAAATTGATTCTTATTATTAATAGGAGTATAATTAAAAAAAATCTAACTAATTTGATTCTCCATTTGAATGAGAATGATCATTCCCTATATTCTCACTTGGAATGCTCATTCCCATAAAAAGTGAGAATGATCATTCCATGGGAATGGTCATTCTAACATCTAAAAACAAGTTTTGTTTGGTATGAGGGAATAAGAAGTGAGAATGACATTCTATTTCACCCCATTCCCGCGTGCCAAACGGGGCCTAAGAGTTAAAGTGTTTTAAAATTAGCATTGCATGAGAGTTTTCGAGGGAGAATTATCATATTTGCATGATTGAGGGTACTTGATGAGAGCCCTAAATTACTTCACACCACCAACAAATCAAGTAGTGTTAAGCCTCTACACAATCACCAACAAATCAACCAAAATACGTAGCCCAAGAACGCCAATATCCTATTTAGACTTCAGTTCCTTCAGCATGTAGCTTCTTGTAACTATGCACCACTCAAGCACTAATACTCCTTAGCACCGATGACTCTGGAATCAGTACTAAAAGTACAATTTATAGAAACTTCAGGGTATTTAAGTGAATTTAAATACAATTGAGGGTCTATAAAAGTACAATTTATAGAAACTTCAGGGTATTTAAGTGAATTTAAATACAATTGAGGGTCTATATGTGCAAGGGGCAGATTTAGATTCTTGAGTTGAGTTGTAGTTGCACCCCCACAAATTTATAAATTGCATATAAGCCCTAGTAACATTTATATGCTTCCCCCCTCGCCTTCTATAAACTTTAAAAACTACACCATAACCTATATCAAAACTCATTTAAAGAATTCCGAGCAATAGTTAATTTAGGGGAAGTTGGAAAAGTTTAGAAAAATCTCGGTTACTTGATCATATGAAACCATCTCTGGAAACAAAAATAAGAACTAATTTAATAAATAATTTGCAATAATTTTTTATTAAAACAAAAGTAAAAATTCACCATAAAATGGACGCTGTCCTCACTTCGGATCCAGTTCCTCTCTAATTTGGTGGTAATTAGAGAGGATCCAATTATTCGAGTCATTAACTTTCGTTCTAATTTCAAGGGCCGATCATAGGCATCATTTGTAGGAATTAACATTTCTGTATTTTAAGGCAAGATCTTAGGCACAAGTTGTATAAATTGGAACTTTTGTTTCAATTAATCTTTTTTCTTTTACACTATGGTCATATTGGTTTTCACAATAAGGGATTTTAATAGAAAAGTGGTTTTCAAAACAATAGCAGAAATCCTACGTGTCGTAATTTCATTCATTGAAATCCAAATATAGGATAAATATTGAGATTATTGGAGAAGATCCGGATCCCCCTAATTGGAGAGGAGTCGAACCTCTACTCTAATTATCATCTAATTGGAGAGAATTCACATTTCTTCACTTAGAGAGCTCAGAATCCTTAGTAGTCTCTTTCTAGCTTCTACGTACTATATATTGACATAGGTGTGTACATCAAAATATACATACATTGATATGTGGCAAGAAATGAGAGGAAAAATACATAAAAAAATAGAGAATGAAGAGTTAAAGATTTTGACCTACTTGAAGACCTCCAAAGCTAGTGCCTCCCTTCCGACCTTACGTTTTTGGCAGCTACACCCATTTTATCAATAAAATCAAACTTATTTACTAGATTCCAGTAATCATACTAAACCAAGAAATGAGATTTTTTCTTCTTCTAATAAATCTTCACTCAAGAAAAAGGATAAATTTTACCTCTTGGGTGAATCAATTGAGCTTCATGGTACATTGATCGGAAATCTTAATCGCGTATAAGAATCTCCATCATCTTGCCGCATTTTGACAAATAAGTTGTAATGAACTAAAATATCAATACGTGCGTTATATTATGCATTTTTATTCTATTTGCATGTTATTGGAAGAACATGTATGTGTTCATTATTTTTAACAATAAGTTATAAACTGAAAGAATTATAACGCACACCCATATCTATTGATTACGGAGTAAATGCATGCAAAAGAATCCAAACGCCTTGTTGCCTTGGGATTTTTACGCTTACTCATGATATACTTGATATATTATAAATAATCATTAACATATTGCTAAGTATTTTTTGGTTTATTAACATTAAATGTTTAATATTCCTATTAATCTAATTATAAATATTTATTTTTTATTATCATTTCTTTAGTACATGTCAATAGATATTATTATATTGAGTTATTATATATAATAATAGAGAAGGAATTTAATTGAATTAATTTTCTAATGGTAGTGAATGCAAATTGAAGGTGTATTTATTACATTTAATTTAAGTGGTGGTTATGAGAAAGATTTGAAGGGGTATGGTTTATGTATGTATGTGTTTTATGTATTCATATATGTGTTTTTGTGTATGTATGTATGTGTTTTAGCATGACTCAGAGGGTATTTTTGAAAGAAATATTTTAACATGACAACACACTTTTATAATAGTATTAGATTAATATGTTATCAAGTCATTTGGGTTTGACACCTTATCCATGCCTAACTGAAATCCTATACAAAAGCTCAATTACAAGTCTTAGGATAGTTCTTTTATTCTTGGAGAAATAAGAAATATATTTTCTATTTTGAGATTTCTATTAGATCATAAAAAAATTTCCCCATGATTAATATTTTTTTTGTTCCCATGCAAACTGTTATCTTATATAAATCATATCCCTTTAAAGTACGAGTTCGGGAAAATCTTTCCATGATCAATATTATCCTTAACTTTTTT